ATATCTAAGTGACGAACCCAATAAAGCAAATGGGTTCCGTACAAGATAAATCACTAAGAACCCAATTATAGATTCAAAAGCGATTTTTAAGCATACCGGGTTGCTGTAGAGTGCTATAATGTTAGAAAATATTTTGGATCATTTAATTTTATGTAAATTTGTCGAATATTTCATTACAATTGAGCGAACGGTTTAAAAGTTACATGGGTTGTAATAAACAAATGCACCCAAACAAGTTTGTTGCACTATACTCGTATATAGTGTACAATGGGTCAATACTGGTAAAGATTTTGTCATGTCAAATGGGGGCATGTGGGGGCTCGTTTGAAAGATCTTAAAGAACCCTATACAAATATCTATGTTATGGACCGAAAAAAGCAATAGGGTTCCGTACAAGATAATTCACTAAGAACCTAATTATACTTTCAAAAGCGATTTATAGTATACCGACTTGCTGTAGGATGCTATAATGTTAGACAACATTGTAGATACAATAATTTTGTATAAATTTGTCAAATAATTCATTCACATTAAACAAACCGTTTAGAAGTTATAAGAGTTGCAATAAACAAATGCTCTCAAACGAGTTGTCGTACTATATATAGTACAGCTGGTCAATACTGGTAAAGACGTTTTCACGTCAAAAGGGGTCATGTGGGGGCTCGTTTGAAAGGTTTTGAAAAGTCCTATACAAATATCGAAGTAACCGATTGCAAAATGCTATAGGGTTCCGTACAAGATAAATTACTAAAAACCCAATAATATGTTTAAGCTGGATTTTAAAGTATACCGAATTGCTGTAGGGTCTAATAATGTAAGACAACATTGTAGATAATTTTGTACAAATTTGCCGAATATTTGTTTCAAATTAGACGAACCGTTCAAAAGTTACAAGGGTTGTAATAAACAAACGCACCCAAACAAGTTTTGGTACTATATATAGTACAGTGGGTCAATACTGGTAAAGACATTTCCAAATTGGGGCATGTGGGGGCTCATTTGAAAGGTCTCGACGAATTCTATACAATCATGGAATTTTACGATCGTTTTAACTGTTTACAAATATTTTAAAACAATGTGACAAACACCTTTCTGTTCCTCCTGACGTGACTTCGAACAAAGGACAATTAATATTCAGAGCGCGTATCTGGCAACAGTTTTAAACTGGAATAGAAATATATAGATATATATATATATATATATATTTAATTATTTTAAAATATTTAGGCCTACTTAAGATATTACTACTGATTAAAATTAATCAAAATAAATTCAGGAATATTTAAATAAAGTTTCACCTATCTATTTTCATCTTGGAGAATATTTTTCATGGTTTGTTGTGACTTCTGTATAGACAGAGTTGTTTTAGAGTTTTACAGTTTTAGAAAATATTTTAGATTATTTAATTTTGAATAATTTTTTTAACACACCATTCATATTAATCGAATGGTTTACGAGTTACGTAATAAACAAAAGCGACACGAAAAATTTTAATTAGCGACTTTTAAACGCGATTTTAAGGTATACCGAATTGCTTTAGGGCATTATGGTAATAGACAGTTATATAGGTTACTTAATTTTAAACAATTTTGTTGAATGTCATATTTAAATCGGATAAATAGTTTAAAAGTTACACGAAAAATAGCATAAAAATACACCTTGAGACTACCCTAGTTTTCAAACACAATTTTTAAGTACATAGAGTTGCTGTAGGGTCACATAATATTAGACAATTTTCTAGTTTACTCAATTTTGTACAAATTTGCCCAATATAATATTTATTTTCAACCAACTGTTTAAAAAATACAAGAAAAACGAATAAAAAAAACGTCAAAATATGTATCAAAAATATTTTGTATATCCATCTTTGCTACTACAAATAAACGTCAATTTGTCTACAAAAGCATAAAGATTTAATCTTTTGTCATTAAACGTTTATATTCCTCAAAAAGCTCTAAAAAATAGTAGGGGGCCCCGTATAAAATGGGGCTCCGACAGAAAAACCGTTTCAATTCCACTCGACCGACAAAATAGACAACAAGAGCGAACGTTATTTTCTTTATTTTTTTTTATTTCACGATGAAAATATTATAAATAAATTATAAAGTGTACTTTTAATAATTTAAGTAAAAAAAGAGTGTTTTACTTTTTTGTGAAATTTGTGTTATGAAGTGTCCTTAAAAGTGTTCAAAATGTTTCTAGTTAAAATCTTAATATGTGTTGTGTTTTAGAATTGTGGACATAAAGTTGTGATAATAGTGATTAAATTTAATATGTAAGTAGATGACAAATATATATAAAATAAGTTAAAATTTAAAAATCAGATATACTCGTATAGAATAAGTTAAGGTAAATTTGTTTTGTTAAGCCTTTTTACTATTTTATTTAAAAAAATCTTAAGTAAAATATTTTTTTATCAAATTTTCAGTCCAGTATTTATTTTATTTAATTCTTTTCACAAAAATAATCAGTTTGATATTAATAAAGATAATATGAAACATATTAGCTTGCGAATAAATATTTAATGATATACGAAGTCAAAAAATAATCATTTAATTTTTTTATAATTTTAAAAAATTATAATATATTTGATTTTTTTTAGAATTAAAACTAAAAGCTCTTTTTCGTTACTTTCTATATTAATTGTTCATTCTTAATTTTTGTTTTTAAAATTTTTGAAAAATTTATTAAATAAAATATATAATATAATAAAAAAATAAATAATATGGCATACCCTAAAATTGCACTTAAAATTTTGTTAGTACTTAATTTTAAAAATATAAAATAATTTATTTTTATAGTTGAAACGTGAATAGATTTATTCAAATTAGTTTTTTCATTATATCTAAAATTAATAGGAAAACTCAAATTAAACTCAAATTTGATATAAAAAAAGGAAGGAACATTTGAAATTAAACTAGTGGGGTATATGGCATCGTGACTCAAGGCAAATTGCTGGAACTTACCGTACCGTAATAAAATATTCGAGGAATACTGAATGTTTTCAAATAGATTATTATAAATATTGTAACATTGTCTAATATTTATAAGAATTATATAAACTGAATTGCAAAGTTGAAATTATTTGTTTAAAGTATATTAGAACTATAGTCAGAATTAAAAATAAAATCTGAATTATTTTCGATATACAAAAAAAAGAATTAAAAATAAAATCTGAATTATTTTCGATATATAAAAAAAAATTGAAAAAAGAAATTTTGAAACAATTTTTTTATTCCAAAATCAATTATTTTGTTAAAACAAACAGAAAGTTCTTTAAATCATTTAAATCGGACGCTTAGTTCTCTCAAAAACTGCCATTTTTTGCACATTTAGCTCTGTATCTTCGAAATGACTGGACCTGCCTTTGCGAAAAGCTAATAACCACTTTTCCCAATCATTACAAATTGAATGTTTTTTGGATCATACAAATCGGATGATCCGTTCTCTCAAAAACTCGATTTCTATTTTCTACACTCTTTGCTCTTTATCTCTGTAACTGCTGGACCTGCCTTTGCCAAAAACTAATCAGCACATCTTCCTATCAATAGAAATCGAATGTTTTTTGTACCATTCAAATCGGTTGATCCGTGCGCCCGAAAACGTGAATAAAAAATTGTATCCATACATACACACACACACATCCATTTTTTCTGAAGTATGCCAAAACGTTCAGAAACCTTCAAAACTTCGAGAAATGTAGAAATTTTCAATTCCGATTTTCGGCCCATTACAATAACTTACCCTACGGGAAGTTAATAATATGGCATACTTTAAAATTGCACTTAAAATTTCGATAGCACTTAATTTTAAAAATATAAAATAATTTATTTTTATAGTTGAAACATGAATAGAAGTATTTATTCAATTTAGTTTTTTTCATTATATCTGAAATTAAATAGGAAACTAAAATATATAGGAACTCTAATGACAAGCAAACTCAAATTTGATATAACAAAGAGGAAGGAACATTTGAAATTAAAAAAATTATAAGAGTGTTAAAACAAATAAAGTTGCCTAATAATCTTGAATATATCTTATCTTTGAAGTTCAAAATTGAAAAAAAAAAACTTTTTTTTTATTAATTAATAGTATGATTAAATATGTTAATTTACAAAATTTACATAGTATGCAACGTCTAAAGTTACAAAATATGCAAATTTTGAATTAAAATATTACATCTTGAAAATAATGTAAATTAAAACATCTGATTACTAATAAAACAAAATAAGTTAATAATAAAAATAATATTATTGTATAAATGCAATTAATTTCACGATTTTAGTAAAAAGATGCCTTGCGATAGAGTTATAGAAAGATAATTTTTTGATCGAAAATATTAAAATACTATAGGCCTACGAAAAGTGTTTGGAATTAGAAATTTATTGAAGCACGTATAATGCAAAACGATTAATGAAATTACAGTTACAAAGTTTGAAACAAATCAATTGTTAATTTCATTTTCTAAATTAATAGATGAATTTTATCTTTAGCTAAATATCTATTAAGTTGATTATTTACACGCATCGGAAATTTCATGCAACTTGGCTTAAGGAAAAATGCACTTGTACCTTGTTTTTTATGCATTTCAATATCTGATTAAAATTTAAAATAAATATTTAATAAATTCTGTAACAAAAGCAAACTCTAAATAGAATTCTAACATGTTACATATTTACGTATTTGTATCTTTAAGGTTACGTAAACGTTACGTTCAACATATTAGGTTGTCAAATATCTCCCTTCCGCTTTTTTGCTATTGGTTTATATTGGTTTATAATACAAAAAGGCGGAAGGGAGATATTTGGCAACCTAATATGTTGTGGTCTAAAAAACAGAATTCTAACATGTTACCTTTTTGTGCGAGACATATTTCCATAATTGTGTTTTTCGAGTTACGTAGTCGTTACCTGCTATATACTAAATATACTATGACTTGCTAAATAATTGTTTAGAAATAAATCCGTTTCCTTTTATACCATTTCTGTTGTTTGTTTCAGATTTGCCAAAATGAATCTAGTGATCTACCTAATAGCCATCGTACTAGCACCATTAAATCCTACAATATCAGGTGAATACGTTGCCAGTTCACCAACACCATTCACCATCAGGCCACAAACAAAACAACAAGTCAATATAACAATTGTAGAACCAGTTAAATCCATCGACTTGTCTAACAATATTTTATATCGGGATGAATCCAATGAGGTGATCAATAATGATGAAACAACGACCAGAAGGGACACAAGTAAGATAATAGATAGTAATTTTAATAGATCAATTTTATTTCTTTGAGCATATCATAGATGTCGCTACCACGCTTAGCACGTAAATTTACCCTTGGGTTCAATTCTAGATAAGATTGATATAAATATACTAGATGATTAAATAGACGTTGTCCTGTATCCACGTCTACATTTTTTTTAATATCCTATACTAATATTTACTGTCTACCTAAAAATAATAATTATTGTTTTTTGAATTACTCTTCACGCCAAAATGCATATACATCAATATGATCGATATTAAATGTAGAACTGCTTTAAATAAAATGAAGAGTCTCAATTTCCACACTATATTGGAAATTGAAGTCTCTTAAACGGTATAACAAATTCAGAACAAATTAATATAGAGTATTCGCGATAAAAGTACACTATCACCTTGAATTTTTTAACTCAAAATAATTGCTCCAATAATGTTGCCTATGATTTTTATAATCTCGTATCATATTTTAACTGGTTTTTAGTAATTATAATATGTAAATTACATTTTTCTTAGTATTAATTTAATATACATTATTACCAGGGACGCTCCTGGAGTCCTCAGCGCCCTTATTATTTTACCTGTTTTAACAGTTTATTATTAAAGTTATTACCATTGATTTATATTTATTTTTGGGCATTTTATGCGATTTATTCTATTGAGCAAATCCTAGAGAGCAAAAAAATTCTAGACTTTCATTATTAAACCTAACACTGGTATTTTATGTTGGATTATTTTAATTTAATTTTTTATTATTTAAAATATCCAAAATTTCATCTTAAACTTCTCCTAGTTGATATCGTAAGAGCCGAATTGTGTGTATTCATCTTTACTTTCCCATTTGTTGTTTTAAAGTGAAATTTTCCACGTATTTTAAAAATATTGTGCAAAAGATTAGTAAAAGATGCAAAGAAATTATATATTAAAAAAAAAACTATATTGAAAATTTCATATCCGAATTTTTTGTTGGCGCCCCCTAAGACGTGCACTCGCATTCAAGGTAGGACCGGCCCTGATTGTTACTTATTTTCATATTTTAAGGGAATTAATTTGTCATATCCTGTTCATATGTGTATTATTCAATCTGCCATACATATACTGTATTTTATATTATTTCAATTTCTGGCATATCTCAGCTGCTTTTTGGCAATAATAATATAGACATTTCATTTTCCTTATTCATAATCATAAATTTATTATACATATTCTAATATTCTTTAGGTTCATAAGTAAATTGAAATTTTTGGCAGATGATAGTTATCATTTGTTTTCAATGCAAACAATGGCATGTCGTTTTTTGCAATTTTTGCCATTTATTTCTACAATATTGCACATACATCCCAGTACTTTATAATCACATACATCCTAGAAAATTTTCTTAACAAACTTCAGAAAGATTTATCAAAATCCGAATAATCGTTTAGAAGGAGTATACAGTGAGTGCTTGTAATTTAATATGAATTTTATATAATAGCAATTAAACTCAAAATGATTCTACGTTTTAGTTAGAAAACGTTTGTATGAGAAAAGTCTGTTTTTAGGTTTTTCCCGGCAATTATTCGATTTTTTCTCGCCGTAAGAACCATCCTTGGACTTGAACGAACATTTTAAAAAAAGAATTGTCGAAATTGGTCCAGGCGTTGCTGATTTATGCGCTTGCCAACACATGCGATTCATTTTTATATATATACATCCTAAAAAAATCCCTTAACAAACTTAGAAAGATTTATCAAAATCCGAATAATCGTTTAGGAACAGTATATTTACATACATCATTACAGAAGATTTTTATATATAAGATAATATAGAAAAGATAAAAACAAAATTAACGCGTGTAAAATTATTTTCAACAAAATCACAAATATGTTGTAAAATAATAAGAAAAATTTGATTCATACAAAAATATATATTTTAATATATAAAATTGGTACTTGAACAGACAGACAGACAAAAGTATTTATTACAATATATGAGGATACATTTTGCATTGTTATTTTTAATACATATTTTTCTACCCTTGGGTACTTTATATAATATAATTGATCTTAATATATACAGTGAATATTGATTGTAAATTCAGCGAGATGTGTAATAAATTGTGTGGCAAAAAAAAGAGAAAATAAACTTTTCCTCCAAAAAAAAGTCACAATGCAATATTTATAATAATACATAATTACACAAAAAAGAATAACAAAATAATAGATTTAATTACACTGAAGGAAAATCTATGTCGAGCCAAGTATCATTTGCCGCTATGGGTCGATCAGTATATAGTTTGGCATGGCGTGATTGCCATAATTGGTACTTGAACGTTTAAAGTACCTGTACTATAACTAGAGAGACTCTGTTTTAAAACAAATGTTGAATTTGAAAAGCACACTAGCACCATCTGTGATATGCTGAAAACACTCAGAGTAAAGCGGATTTGTTCCAAGTTTACCCCCCATAGACCAACAACCAAGTCAATTAATTTTTTATTCTTTAGTTGTAGATTTCCAAGTGTCTCCACGGACCAAGATCTTTTACCAAAATCAGGATAGTAATGTGATTCGTGATGCGAGAGTGTCTCCGGTGATGGTGTCTTCAGGAGACTCCTACATCGATGCTTATAGGCAATCGCATGCTGCAGCAGTTGCTGCGAAGGATGATAATGTTGCCGAACCGACTGCTGCACATCCAAGTAAGAATTAATAAATTAGGGAGCCAATTTTTGGATAACATAGAACAGTGACAAACTGCCATGAAGCTATATATTTGATTTAGTTTGATCGAGCGTTTTACACATAAAACCTAACCTCCAAAAGTCTAATAAAATCAGTTAAATTAGTGGACAAAATTGTTTGTCACATTTTTCTTATGTAATGTCAAATATATATATATATATATATATATATATTATATATATATATTTGTAATTCAAATGTCCCGCCATTACTATTAGTAATGTTGGCAATAGCCTTCCCCTACTCAAACTATGTATCCGCTATCTTATTTTCATGTTTATGTTAAAGCTATGTAAAATAGCTCTCTTCTTAATGAACCGTGAACCAATTAACATTTAAAATAAACTGAGTAATTCAAAAGAAGCATTTTTATTAGACCAATTAGAATTTTATTTTTATCCTGCAATCTATAAAAATAATTACATTTAGCAGAGAATTTGTTTTGTGCTCGTTGTATTATGTTTAAATTGCTTTTTTTAGCAGTACCCCAAAGTTGTAATCCGTAGGTCCACACGGGTTTGATCACTGCCTTATATATATGTAATTTGTTGTAAGTTGATAATTCTGAGTTTCTGTTTAGGAACCAATAATAATTTTTGAATATTAGATCTATTTGTTGTCTTTTGTTCTTTATGTGAACTTTCCAGCGACGTATGTGTAACACTTAAACCAAAGTTAAGATTAATACGTTTGCGCGTTTTGGAAGTTAGTTTTTAGGTGTAATACGCTTGATAGAACAGCGAATTACAACCGTTACTGCCAACTCATGGGATTATAGACATAACATTTCTGTTTTGTCAGAGAATTAGCCCCTAAAATCAATTAGGTGTAAGTGCAGGAGCGTAGGTATTCCCATATCAGACGTAACACATGATATGAGCCCCAGGAGCTACGTAGGACCTCAACGAAAAAAAAAATTAGAGGATTATAATTTTTTAATGCTTGCCACATTTTTTAACTTTCTGTAGGGCAAGTTATTTTAATAGTGCAAAAATCGATATTGAAAATTTTTGCATTTCTTCACGTTTCACAGGTTTCTGAACATTTTGGCATACCTTAGAAAGAATGGATGTGTGCTGATACAATTTTTCGTCGACAATTTCGGGTGAATGGATGAACCGATTTGAATGGTTAAAAACACATTCGATTTGAAGTGATGAGGAGAAGCGGTGATTAGTTTTTGACAAAGGCAGGTCCAGCCGCTACGGAGATAAAGAGTAAAAAGTGCAGAAAATAGAAATCGAGTTTTTGAAAGAACGAAGCATCCGATTGGAATGATTCAAAAAATATTCAATTTGTAATGATGGGTACAAGTGGTGATTAGTTTTTAGCAGGGGCAGGTTCAGCCGTTCCGGAGAAATAGAGCTAAATGTGCAAATTGTGGCAGTTTTTGAGAGAACAACGCATCCGATTTGAATGATTCAAAAAACCTATTGCTTGTATGACGAATCAATTATTTTGGGGAAAACAAATTATTTTTGTAATTTTAATTTTCTAAAAATATATTTTTTTAATATCGAAATTTAATTTTAATTCTAGCTAAAGTTCGAGCTCATTTATATTCTTCAAATAAAAACTTTGCAAATCAGTTTATATCATTCTTATAAATATGATATAAGGTCCTTCATTCTAACTGCGATTGAATAAGTTTTGTTTAACACTGTCTATGTAAACCTATATAAACGTATCGTCCAATTTATAAGCTCTTATAATTTGTCTATAAAATACGAATAATGATAGTTACAATATTTATAATAATATATTTGAAAACATTTAATACTCCTTGAATATTTTATTACGGTACGGGATATTCCAGCAACTAGTTTCTTTACTATTTGAAATCTTTAGTCATGTTTCTAAAGCCTTACACTTACAGCATGCAAATAATGACAATTCTAGTAAAGAACTCTAGTATTTTAATCTATTTACAAATAGATTTTGCGAATAAAGAAATCAGAATTTTTGAATAGTTTTCTAAATGAGTCCAGAAGTTTAGCAAAATAATGGAAACAATCTTGTAAGAACCGAATGAGATTCTAGTAAGAATCTTATGAGAAACGGGTACAGAATTAATAAGCCTCTCTTTCGAATCAAATAAAAATCTGGAGTGATTCTGGTAAGAATCGAAAGGGAATGATATTTGTTAAGATTCTGATAAGTTTGTTAAGAATTCAGAAAGTTTCTGGAGAAAGTCCAACCAGATTCCTTGAATTTAGTGGAAGTCTTATATGAGAATATGGGAATCTTATGAAGTACTGACAAACGTCTAATAAGATTTGAAATTACACTTGTAAGAATCTACTGGGAATCTGACGAATCCAATAAGAATTTTGTTGAAATCTAATGGAAATTTGACAAGATTCTAATGAGTGTCTAATAAAAGTCTGGCAAGATTCTCATAAGAAGCAAATCAAATTCTTGTAAGACTCAAATCAGATCTAGTAAAAAAACCGCTTAGAATATTGTATGATTATTATGAAAATCTGTGGACAATCTTATTAGAAACTAGTACGGACCTAACAAGCTTCTAATAAAAATGGAATTTGAAATGATTTTTGTACGAGTCCTTTGTACGATTGTATTTTTATGCATTTTTTTTAATCTGTGAGAAATTTTCTTAGAACTTTAGCCAGAATTAAAAGTAAAATCTGAATTATTTTCGATATACAAAAAAAAAGTTTTTGGAAAACACAACTTTTCGTTTCTTTTTGTCAACACAAGCGGAAATGCCATTTCTTGCACAATTAGCTTCATATCTTCAAAACGGCTGGACCTGCCTTTGTCAAAAACTAATAACCACTTCTCCCAATCTTTTACTAATTGAATGTTTTTTAGATCATTCAAATCGAATGCTCCGTTCTTCCAAAAACTCAATTTGTATTTTCGGCACAATTTGCTCTTTATCTCCGTAACGGCTGGGCCTACCTTTGCCAAAAACTGATCAGCACATTTCCCTATCAATAGGAATTGAATGTTTTTTGAACCATTCAAATAGGTTGATCCGTGAGCCTGAAAACGTGGACGAAAAATTGTATCCACACATACATACACACACACACTTCTTTCTGAGATTTCCCAAAATATTCAGAAATCTTCAAAACCTGAAACAGTAAATGGATAAAATTATTTAAATAACAAAAATCAATATGTTAATTGTTGGCAGTTATTTTAATTCAATTTTTACAATTTTGTGAAATTTAAAATTACATTATTTTAAATTGTTCTTCCTGTATTTAAAATAAATATTTACAATCTTATAATAAATATATATACAAAAACTAAGCTGCATAATTCTATATCAACATCTATTATTCCTTTTCACTTTTCACCTTCGTTTCGTCAGCAGTATGATGTGTTAAATGCACTTTCAAATTTTGTGAAGAATTAAAACCCTTATTACATATTTCACATTTAAAAGGTCGCTCCTCACTGTGTATAACCATATGAGACTTCAAAACAAACAATCGAGTAAACGTCTTATTACAAATTCCACATTCAAAAGCACGTACTTCGCTATGGGAAAGCATATGCGTTTTTAAAATACTCTGCAGAGTGAATCCCTTCTTACAAACTTTGCATTTATGTGGACGAATATCATCATGCGTGTACAAATGAGCTTTTAGTTTGTTGCCGAAGCGAAGGCCTTATCGCACTTGTCACATTTGTAAGGGTGCTCTTCGTTATGAGTCCGCATATGGATTCTTGAATACTCCAAAGACAGGAATGTTTTATTGCATATATCACATTTATGTGCTCGTTCACCATGAGTACGTAAATGCAGTCTTAAATTGCGTGGATACACAAATGTTTTATTACACATTTCACATTTGTATGGTCGTTCACCACTATGAGTCAACATGTGATTTTTTAATAAAGTCCTTTTGGTGAATCCTTTATCACATGTGTCGCATTTGAAAGGTCGTCCTTCGGTATGTGTGATTAGATGTGTTTTTAAGTCTTGTTGGTATCGAAATGATTTAACGCATTGATGACATTTGTATAGGCGTTCTTTTGTATGTGTCACCATGTGTCTTTTAAGATTGCAGATGAGAGTGAATCCTTTATTGCATATTTCACATTTGTGGAATCGTTCTTTTGTGTGGATAAGTATGTGTCGTTGTAAGTGGCAGTTGTGACCGAATACTTTGTTACAGGTTTCACATTTGTGGACTTTTTTAGTACCTGACACATTCTTTTCTTCAACAAGATTCTGGGAAGAATCCTCACTCTCTATTTTGATACCACTTTGTTGTATTCTTCATTTGTCGTTTCTTCTGTATTACTAAAACTTTGTGAATCGTCATCTGAATATATTTCGGATTTAACAACTACATCGAAGTCTTCAAACTCTTGTTTTATACAAGTAGAATCAATTTCTTCTTCAATTGGTTCAGTTTTTATTTTAACATTGGAAAACGTACTTGCCTCTTCACACATTTTTATATTATAGTGAATTTAGCATTTGATATTTACGTGATATCAAATGTAATGTTAATAAATAATAATGAACAATAAATATATTTTAAAATTGAGAATTTGATTCTTGTTTGATGTATCAACAAATGTCAAAACTGTCAAATATGGCGCAGTACAATTTTTATAATCTTTTATTGTTTTATTATAATAAAATACCTTAATACTTGCAGAATTTATAACTAAATTTAATTGCTAAATGCCTTATTTCTAGCTTTTGGAAATAAATATTTGAAGTTTACAAAAATTGATTTATGTTTTTGTGACAGCACTCGCCATATTTGACAGTTTTCACCGTTTGACAGTTCTTTTTTGGTGAATCAAATTAAATTAAGTTAATAAACAATAAATAATATCTATAATATTCAAGTTTTTGATAAACAAATGTTTGAAAATAAAATTCATATCAAAAATAAAATAATTGTTAATATAAACAGCACATTATAAATTATTTATGGGTGTCAGTTATGAACAAATGTCAAAACTGTCAAATATGGCGACGAAAAACCTATTTTTAATAATTATTACTTTTATTTTAATATTAGATATTCACAATTACTTTAATAGTATTTATTCATAAAATTTTATTACTCTAATTTTGTCTACAATTTGGAATGATTTATTGAAATTTAATAAAAATTTATTAATATTTTGACATCAACAAGCGCCATCTTTGACAGTTTTCACCGTTTGACAGTTGCAATATTTATTCAGCAAATCAAATAAATAATAAGTTAATAAATAATGAATAATAAATAATAATGAATGAAAAATGAATAATGAATAATATACTAAATTTAAAGCAACAAATGATTTTAAATTAAGTGCACATTAAAAATAATTGTTAATATAAATAGTATAAGTTTATAAATATGTCTGATAACCTTAATTCACCTACAAATGCAATTATTAAAACTGAGCCAATTGGATATTCCAACGATAAAATTGAAAATGTACAAATAAAAGAAGAGCCTGTTGATTCTGATATATCGGAAACAAGCTCAAGAGACAATATCAAATGTACAAAACCTGTACTAACAATTCACGAAGACTTGAAACAAGAAATAGTAGAAATTGAATCCACAATACAACGTTTCACCTGCCAAATATGTCCTAAACAATTCCCTTACAAAAGTCATTTAAAAAGGCACATGGATACTCACACCGAAGAACGACTTTACAAATGTATTGAATGCCATAAGTCATTTGTGTCTGCACAATGTTTAAAAGCACATGTACTTATTCACTCTATAGACCGACCACACAAATGTAAAGTATGTGGTAAAGGATTCATTCGTAACTGTGATTTAAAAAAACATACACAAAACAAACATTCTGGTACTAAAGACCGATTGTTTAAATGCGATGTATGCAACAAAACTTTTGCCAGTACTGTGTATTTAAAACTACATGCTGATATACATACTAGCAAAAGCTGTCATAAATGTAAAATATGTAATAAACTATTTGTTAATAAGTATTATTTAAATGCACACATGGTTTTGCATACAGGCGTAAGCAATCATAAATGCAAAATATGCCAAAAAGTCTTCACACCCTCCACAAATTTAACTACACACATGTTAACACATAGCACAGAACGACCTTTCGCATGTGAAATGTGTCCTAAGACTTTTTCCACTCCACGTAGTTTAAAATCTCATATGTTTGTTCACACCGCAGAGCATCCACACAAGTGTGATGTTTGTGCCAAGCCATTTCGTTACCCCCTTGAATTAAAAAAACATATGAACACCCATACTGGAGAACGTCCTTATGAATGTGGAATTTGTAATAAAGGTTTTGCAATGTTGAAAACGTTGAATCAGCATATGTTAACTCATTCGGCAGAACGACCTTATACTTGTGAGGTTTGTGGTAGAGGTTTTAATAGACCGAGTAGGTTGAAGAAGCATATGGATGTTCATAGATAAATGATAAGCACAAGAGACCGGGTTTGTTAAAATAATAAGAGGTTACTCATAGTAAATGTGAGTCTCCAGTTGAAAAATAAAGCTAATGAAAGATTTAATTTAGTTGATTTGATCTGTATTGCTGAGCTAACTATTGTTAGTCTTAAATTTTGTCAAATATTCACTATCAAGCGATTGGAAATGTAAGAATGAAAACAGAGATGTTCAAAAGACAATAATGAGTCTTGCTTGAAAAGATTCTTCCTGTAAAAAGTAACAACAGACAAAATAATGAAGCAAGAATCACCAAAAATAAAATAAAATAAAATGAAATTAGAAAAATGTAATAAACATTGATGAAAGCAAAGGTGAATTATATAAAAAAATATGAATATATTATTTAACTTGTGTTGCCACATCACTCCCCCTTGTTGATCAGAAAGTAAAATATTTGCAATGAATCATTTATCAAAGAATTTTTTTAGCAACCAAATTAACAAAACATAAATATTCTGATCAAAAGTGTTCAAATTGTTAAAAATAATCAAAATAGGTAAGATTTAAATAAAAAAATTATTGAAAAAATGACATAAATAAAATATTAATATATTATTAATTCTACAAATATAATTATTCATTAACTTCGCGTAGGGTAAGTTACAGTAAACGCAAAAAATCGAAAATGAAAATTTTTATGTATCTTTACGTTTCAAAACCTTCTGAACATTTTGGCATACCATAGAAAAAATGGGTGTTTGTGTGTGTGTGTGTGCATGTATGTGTGTGTGCATGTATGTGTGTGTGTGTGCGGATACAAAGTTTCGTCGACGATTTCGGGAACACGGATGAAGCGATTTGAATAATTTAAAAAAACATTCGATTTGCATTGATAAGGAGACGTACTGATTAGTTTTTGGCGAAGGCAGGTCTAACCGTTTCGGAGTTACTGGGCAAAAAGTGCCAAAAACGTTAACTTAGTTTTTAATAGAACGGAGCGTCCGATTTGAATAATTCAAAGAAGATTTTACTTGTATTAACAAGATGAAGAACTGATTTTCATGAAGGCAGGGCAGGTTTAGCGGTTTCGGAGATCTAGTAAAAAAAGTAAGAAGAAATGCCTCTGGCGGTCAAAAATGATCGTTAGACAAATGCACATCAAATTATCAGATATTTTATAGAGATTTTAACAATAAGTATAAATTTTGTTTATCCGTTAGACGGCGACGCGACGCTTACGCGCTTCGATATTTCGTCTCTCTGCAGTTAAAGCAGTACGATTGCTTTGAAAAAAAGTTCAGAATTTCCAAAATATTTCAAAATACACTTTTCTTCAAAAAATCTTTTTTTTAAAAAAAAGTAAATTTTTGTTAAAAATTTATAGTTTCTCAAAAATCCAATTTTTCAGAGTAATTTTTTTTCAAAAATGTTAATCTTAAAAAAAAAATAGTTTTTGGTACGGGAAGTACCAGCAATTTGCCTTAAGGCACGATGCCTTACACCAGGGCTTTTTAAACTTTTTTATATAGCGACCCCCTTCAAGCTTAGGAAATTTTAAACGACCCCCTCCTCCAAATAATAAAATATATATTAACCGTTATCGCATTATTTTACAATGTAAATAAAATAAGAATTGAAGAATATGTACCCATTCATGTTTTATATAATTGGAAACGTTGACATAAAACTATATATATATATATATATATATATATATATATATATATTTATTTATTTATTCAATAGAAAAAATAAACTTTTGTAACAAATTCTTTATAAGAAAACATAAAACTATATCTGCATATTCAATAGAAAAAATAAAATTTTGTAACATTTTTTTAATGAAAACCTATTATTAGCATCAAACAATATTAATGTGATGAATGTGATTGTTTATTTTTACACAAATAATTAAATCTAGGCTCAATTTAAGTTATTGCAGATCGTAATAAATTTTCAACGTATATTAAAGTTGAACGGTATTTTGACTTTATGTAAGTTAATGTAGAAGAGGCTGATTCACATAAATATGTTGCACAAAATGGCAGTAATTTGTTTATTGCCATTTCCAATAGTAGGGAATATTCTGATTTGATTTCAATTCAAAATTGAAAAAATCTGAGTCGCAAGATAGTATCACTTGTTAATTCGGTAAATTCTTCTTGTGCTTTTAAGTTTGAAAAATTAATTTCTTCCATTTCAATTGAAAATGGATTGCAAATCCATTGTTGTGTATCGATGTCATTGAGAAAATATCTATGCATGTAAACTTCCAAATTCTTCAAATGATTAACTATAATTTTTGTTATAGGAGTATCTTTTTTTGAAATATTGTTACTAATTATATACTCGTCAGTAAATGGAAACATTTCGAGCGATCCACTTTCTACTCTGTTTTTCCATATAAGAATTATTTTAACAAAGGCCTCAAGTTTATTTTTTAACATAAACATATTAACGCAGACTCTCTGCATTGATAAATTCATATCATTGATTTTATCAAAAATATTGGCCAAATAGCATAGCTTGAGAAGCCATAAATTATCGTGAAAATAGCCGGCCTAATAATACTAATTTTAAAATTTTCTTTATAATGATTGAAAAGTATCAGATCTTTGCGACCCCTTCCTAGTAGTCTCGCGACCCCCTGGGGGTCGCGACCCCCACTTTAAGAAGCCCTGCCTTACACCACTAGTTACATTTTAATTTATTGCTAATATTTTTTTTAGAGTGTAATCAATGAAGATGAGTCAAAACAAGACTCGAAACGTTTGCAAAAAAAAAATTAAAAATATTTTTAAACTCAACTTTATTTTTTATTAACTACCCTAAGGAGAAGTTTCGATAGAAACTTGGAAAGTCGATAGAAAATCTACTTTGCTATTTATATATTTTTTCGACGTTTCATGTCATTCTGAATCGTTTGACATGGAAATTGAAGAAAATATTAACATTATTACACATAATTTAAAAAAGTCAAAATCTATCACAATATACTTAAAATGAGAAAATTGTTATAATTATACTCATTATTTTGTTTCATATAAATTTTTTTATATATTTGTGCTAAGGATAATTGAAACCAGGACTCGAAACGTTTGCAAAATTAACCAAAATCATTTTTGTACTTAACTTTAATATTGTAACCTTTAAACCTTTATATCATTTATCTTTTTCCAGCTTACTACGAGCCCCAATACGCGCCCCCCAAAGACATGAAACCACCAGCAACCTCTAGAATCTCCTTGTATCACCACCAGCCCACAGCCATATACCACGAACCACCATCCCTCGGCTACCATTACAACAGTCCGAAACCCACATACTCATACGAATACCTGCACAAAGAGCCTGAACCAGCACCACCGAGCCCCACTTATGGAAGTGGATTCGTGGCAACATCGATCGGGCACCATCAAGTCAATTATGGACCACCACCTGTGCACCACCAGGTGACTTATTTGGCACCTACGCAGCAGGTTCATCATCATCATGGGGATTATGATTATGACGAGTGAGTAGATAGAGGTTAAAGTAATGATAATTGACTAGTGGTAATAAATATGTGTGGTTTGTAATTTTTTTAGTCATCATCATGATCACCACGAGAGTTATGGGGTGCCTTACCAGGCACCAGGGTTCTTCGATAAATTGAAAATGAAGTTCAATTGGTATATTTTGGGAAAGCTGCTGCTTAAGTTGATTTTGTTTAAGAAATTTGTGAAGTTTGCAGCTATTTTGTGCCTTTTGTTTATTATACCAAAGTTGAAAAAGGGAAAGAACGATGATGAAGAGGACAGGTCCAGAATGTGTAAGTTTATTATCTACATATATATAAAAATAAGTCGGGTTTTCCTTCTTGACGATTTAACTCCAGAACGCACGAACCGATTTCGACAATTTTGCATTCGTTGGAAAAGTCTCGGGCTCCGCAAGGTTTATAGATAAGAAAATTAGTGGTGCATGGCATCGTGCCCTAATGCAAATTGCTGGAACTTCACGCACCGTAATTAAAAAATTGAGTAATGACATTAGTGAGAATTATCAGAATTATGCTTGGTTAAGTCAACGAACAATTCTTGCCGCAAAGAATAATGATGTCAACGCACTGAATTTTACCATTCAATCAAAAATTGCTGGCGATTTTGGTGACATACCAATGATTCCGACTGGTCTTCCGTTCGATTTCAAACGATTGCAATTTCCAGTTTGCCTTGCGTTTGCAATAACAAGTCGCAAGGCCAATCGCTTAGTGTTTGCGGGATAAATTTCAAATAGATTATTTAGAAAATCATTGTTTTTCTCATGGGCAGTTATACGTTGCTTGTTCACGAGTTGGGAAACCATCCGCTTTGTTTGTGTTAACGTCAGACCAAAAAACAAAAAATGTGGTTTACCAAAGAGCACTTCAATGAAACGGATAATTTGCGGATTCACTTTCATTTACTTAGAGAAGTTCAACTAAAAGACACTTCATTTTTGTAATCGAAATAAATTCATTACTGTTGTGCAATAAAATCAAATTTTTCCTTTTCAAATATAAAACAAACAAAAAATTTCTTCATCTTTCTCACGAAACCATCTGGTAGCGAAACGGAGTTCGTCGGGTTTGCTAGTATATATATATATATATATATATATATACATTTCTAAGTCTTTTACCCCTTAGTTTCAGTTATGTCCAACGATGCCCAAGAAGCCCTGATGCAGATGTTTGTAGGAGCAATGGACATGTATGCATCAGGTTCGAATTGGATGAACGAAGCACCGAATAATAGTACGAGTAGTTCCAAGGATCATTATTATGATTATTATATGAATAATAGTAAACACGACAAAGATAATCATCATAAGGATAATTCGAATTGTAAAACTAGCCGGATGCTGGATAGACTCGACGAAAAATACAGTTTTGCGAGGTAAAGAAAATATAATATCAACTAGTTGGCCTTGAGGCAAGTTACATGAACTTCCTGATAATGTGTAGATAATAGACTTAATCAATAAAAAATAAATTTATCTATGAGTTATTAAAAGTATTCCGAGTGGATTTATTACATATAATTGAAAATGTACGATTACGTTAACTCGGAGTATTTTCTAAAAGCAAATTTTCAAAAATCAACAATTTTTTATAATTCAACCAGTTTCCGTAGGACTTTAATGGCTTAGTATGTTTATTAAGACCTCATTAAGGTACTCTATCGTTATACCAAGTAAATCGTCTAATATTAATTCTAACAAACGTCCAGAAAACTACTCATTTTCTCAAACTTCGATGAATTTTTAAAATTAAACTACTTGTCGTAAGGCCGTAATATTTCAGTAAGTTCTAGAAGTCATGATATATACTGCCAAAAAACTCCATAAAAATCGGGTTAAATTTATTTTTCAACAGTTAATTACAAGAAAACATCTCGGTAGATTTTCACCTAAAACAAATCAGTGTCATTCCCAACTAATATCTTTCGAACAGTTTTTGATTTTTGAAAATCGATTCGGTAGGATCAGCTTAAATGTGGACAAAAAGTTTAACACCATTTCTCAAATTACAAAGAAAAGGCTTGGCCGATCGTCGCACAAAACTGACAAACAATAGTCCTCATCGGGATACATCGAATGGCTTTTAAATTTTTGAAATCGGTCTAGTCGTTTTTGAGAAAACGTCAATTTTACGGCAAAAAATCTGTTTACACACACACACACACATACTTTTCCTTGGTCTCATTCGATTCAGAATGGCTTGAAACGTGAGAAAACATAAAATTAGCGAACCGGATTTTTTTTATGAAAACAAACTTCTCCTTTGGGAAGCTTTTAATATGATTTTCAAATATTTTTATAAATATCTTGCTTAAATAAATAAATATAAATTTAATTACTAGGACGATCACGATGCATGTCCATTTTTTATTATAAACTTTGTGTAGATGTTATAACTAAACCGTTTCTCGTAGGCCTATAATATTTTACTATGTTTGTTTAAAGAACACGGTCACAATTTATTGAAAGAAACTATATATATATATATATATATATATATATATATATTCACGCAAACACCTTTAAATTTATATTTTATTAAATAACTCTTAATATAAATATTTGTTTCCTTATCTATGAATATTTGTATATAAATTCATTATAATTTATTATATTTTTAGGCTCTGGGATATGTATCAAGCAAATTCAGAAGAAAATGTTGTTTAATACAAAATAAATTGTATTTGTATCTGTGTGTGTGGAATAAACAAAAGTGAAATAAATGGACTACAAAATTATCATCGTAACAGTTAAGAGATTAATATTGTCGAAGATTTACATCGAAGTAAGTGGATTGAATTTTGAGATATATCTTAAAATTACTTGAGTTACGTATTAAGTCTACAGTTTTATATATATACACCTAAGTCTGTTTTTACACGGAGATTGGTTCCAGAAGAAGCCGTGTAAAAAAAAAACGTGTAAAAAAAGACATTGATCTTATACAAAAATGGGTGATTTGTCCTACTCTCTAAAACCTATTAAAATTAGTGAAAAACAAGAATTTTCAAGAACAAGAATTCATGTTTATTTTTAATAATAATTCCCCTAAATTAGTGCTATTCACATTTGCTTTGACCAGTAAAAATTGTTTGTACGCACTAAAGGAGAATTTACTTAAATCTTTAAGCTAGTGTTCGCAAACTATCGATACTATCGATGATTTCAGACTTTTTTCTTTCTTCGCAAAAATTAAATTTGACAAAAAAATTTAAGTACATAAAATTTCAAATCGTGCTAAATGGAATAAAATCGTGTAAAAAAATTAAAAATATTCAATTTTCAAACCGTGTTATATCAAAACCGTGTACAAAAAGACCGTGTAAAAACAGACTTAGGTGTATATATATATATATATCTTGATAGTTTTTTCAACGTTGAAACATATTTAAGAGTAACTAGCGGCCCATTTGTAAAAATAAAAAATGTAAAAAGTATTTAAAACCTTTTATTATACGTTTTGACACCACATGCGTGTCATCATTCTACTAGCAACTACAATAAATTGGAACATTTTACTAATAATAAAACAATTATGAAATAAATATAAACATAGAGAAACATTATACATACCATTAGGGCAAAAACACACATTTTTTTTTTTTTATATTAGAAAATTAAAATTGTATCAATATTCGAGGACATTTTTTTGGAAAAATAATGATGAATAACCACAAAATTAAAACCATTTTTAGAAAAGTTCTAAACTGTAACACATTATGACGCCTGAAGCTGTAGCTGCTGAATGATGACACGCATCTGGTGTCGAAACGTATAAATAAAAGGTTTTAAATACTTTTTTCATTTTTTATTTCGACGAATGGGCTGCTAGTTACTCTTAAATATGTATATATATATATATATATATATATATATATATATATATTAGGGTGGTCCTTAATATGGACATTTTTGAATTTCCTTGCTCCCAAGGGCTCAAATGCTTCCAAAATAATAACAAAAAATTCTCTAAAAGTTTTAGCTTTCAATATTAACATTTAGATAGTCCGCAATTCAATTAAAAGTTTTGTATATTCATTATTAACATATGTCATTAAGTAAAATCTTGCGCCATCTGTGATAGCATTTATGTACTCAAATATTATGACTCTTAAAAATATTTATAAATCATTTAATCTCTAATTAAATCTATGTTGAATGTTTAACAAAATATTTATTCACCATGGAAGCAAAATTAATTTTGCAGCAAAATATTTATTTAATTGGTGATTTTGACGCTCAAATTGTCAGTAATAAATTGCCATGAAAATTACAAGGCTGCTATCACAGATGGCGCAAGAATTTACTTAATAATAAATATATGAAACTTTTAATTGAATTGCGGACTATCTAAATGTTTATATTAAAAGCTGAAACTTTTAGAGAATTTTTGTTAATTAATTTGGAAGCATTTGAGCCCTTGGGAGCAAAGAAAATTAATATGTCCATATTAAGGACCACCCAAATATATATATATTTTAAATATTAGATATAGCAAAACTTTAAATCTAAGTATTTATTTATTTATTTCAAACAAGTCTGCATATACATTGTAAGTATAATTAATAATAATTATTAATATGCATATTATAAACTTTCATAATATTTTATTTAAATGCATCCTTAAGAAAACCAAAATGTATCCCTTCAAATTATTATTATTCCTTTCTTTTTCAAAACAAATTATTTCCTCCATCATTATTGCGAAAACCAACTTCTGGATCGAAAAGATTAAAAGGCTTCTGATTATTTTGAGCCACTTGAACAAAATCATTCATCCTTCTATGATTATCGATATGCATCGCATGTTGTGAGAGAAATGGTTGTGCATCTTCGATGTTATGATGCATATCGTCTTGTGGACTTAAATTGTGTTGAGATCTTTGTATGTGCATTGGGGAATCATATCGGAAACTGAAAGAGGATAGAGAAAGCGAAGAGGAAAAGACTTAATCATCGATGTAATACAAGGAAGCAGAAGATTGAGATATATATATATATATATATATATATATATATATATATATATATATTTATATATGTATCTTTTTCCTACCTCTGTTGCTGATTCTGCAAAGTCCTCTTCATCCTCTTCTCATTGTCCAAATCGATCTGCAGCTTCTGTATCATCCTGTTCTTCTCCAAGAGCTCCACCTTCTGCTTCTGCAAAACAGTCTGCACCTGCTTCATCTGTTCCTCGTAGTGCTTCTTTTGTCGTTCACAGTTCTGAAATTCTGTCTGCAAGAAACCTATACGAGTCCTCAAGTGCTCTGTCACATGTTTCGAACGTTCCAACTCTTGAGCATTCTGGAACGTCCAGAACCGTATTGATCTGATACAAATTTCTAGAGCGTCGTCTGGTTTCATACCAGCAAGTATCATCTGGGGGTAAAGGACACAAATCACTTACTACATCCAACAAATATTTTTACACTAGTCATTTACCCTTACCGATTTGTATTTCTCCGTCGGGTTCAGATTGGTTTTAACAATGTCAGTCCCTTCAATCATGATGGTGTTACAAGCGGGGCACCTCAAAGAGTTCGGGTCGCCCCCTTTCAGGATTTTTAAGCCGTGTTCTGAACAAAAGGCGTGAGAACAACTCGTCATGTATCCGACGTATTCCAGGACTTTGCGACATTTTCGAAAATTGCAATACAATTCGCATTCTGCCATTATGAGAATTAAAATTTTATTTTATAACACATCAGATTATAATGTACGCAACTGTCAAATTGCGGAAAGAAGTGTTGCCAACGGAAGATGTACCAGGAATATAATTTGTTGTATTGCGTTTTCAAATAAATTAAGTGAAGGTAATAAAAAATCGTTTAAATTAGATAGTTTTGTTTAAATATTCTGTATATTTATATTATGTATGTTTATATTTGTTTATAAATTTTTCTTGCATATGTATTTTAATCTTTTTATATCTAACTTCATAGATAAAAGAAGAGTATAATATCTAACTTCAAGTCAATCATTTTGACGTTTTCAAAATAAATTAATGAATAATAAAAATGACGATAAATTTTGGTTTTTAATATAAATTTGTGCGCTTTTAACGTAATTATATATTAGTTTTAATATATTAAAGTGATAAATGTAAAAATCTTATTTCAAACTGTTATTTATATATATAATTCAAGGAATTTAGCTTTGGAAATTTGTTGAATTCATGGTGAAAAATATCACAAGGGATGAAAATTATATAACCTTAGTTTTTTATTTAAATTTGATCGATGAATATGTTTGATTTAATATACTAAAGCTTTAAAAAATGATCAATTTAAAAATCCTATTCAAACCGTTATTTATATAAATATATCTCAAGAAATTTAGCTTTGAAAATTTGTTATAGTGTTATAAAAAGTGCTCAAAAATATCACAAAGAAGCTCAAAGAAAATTAATTTTGCTTTATTATTATTTGATACAAGATTATTTGATTTTAAACCAATTTAAAACTAAAAGAGTGAAAGCATAACATGTTAACATTTAAAAAAAAATTGCTGTAATAAACAAGTTATGATTAAATAACACTTTCATATTTAGTTAAATTCTCAGGTAAACTTCAATTTATAAAATAATATAAATAAAATCAATGTATATATTTTTATGTATAAATATATATGTTATTAATTTTATCTAGTTAAAAGATCATATATTATATTTAGACATAAGTTTCCCTTTTCCTTATATTTGCTGTAATATTTTTGTATTAAAAACTTAGGGATTTAGATGAAATTTTAGACACAAATCTTTTGGCTTTAAACTATAATTAAGAATATACAACAAAGTTAAGTTATGTATAGAATTGAATTTGTGATTAAATTAATTTTAGTTTATTTTTTTTCAAATATTTTATAAATATATTTTTGTTTATTGAAGGTGAAACAAGTGGAGACTGGAGACTTACTAACAGGAATTTTAAATTGTATAACTTAATCTTTTTCTTTTAATAGCACAGGAACGTGCTATTAGAAAATCTGCACAAAAAAACTTATTTGCTTATTATTATATTATAAATATAATCAATTATGTTAATATAACAGCAAATATAAGGAAGAAACTTATGTCTCAAGTATAAAACTTGCATAAAATCAAATTATTTGTTCAAACAAATTTGACGTTAACATAAATTTCAAATTTAACCGCCAAAAACTTTTTAAAAACGCATATAACTTCATGTTAAACATTTGACGTTGCAAACAATAATTTATATTATTATTATTTTAAAAATAACTGATGCTATTATAACTCGTTAGTCTTTGTGTTAGATTTTTTAATAATAATTAATATTTTATATAAACATAAATATGAGTAATTGTCAAAAATTTGTTAAAAAAATTGTAGTGTGTTGCAATAATAATAATAAATCCTGCAATAATAATAATAATAATAATAATGTTTTGTACATACTTTTACTTAAATTCATATCCTATCCATGATTAATTTTAAATCTTTACCTATTAATTTATTAATAAATTTTGAATTCATTTTTTACAAATTTTAAATTCAAATTTCCCTCTAGAATTGAAGTGAAGTTTTGAAGCTTTTCCGCATCAAACTTCACATCAACCGTTTGACATTTGTAACCACCATTATTTATGCCTAAAGTTCTTTAATATGAAAATAATATTTTAAAATGGCAAATAACGATTTATTTAGTGTTTTTCATAATATAATCATTCCTTTTATATTATAATTATCCTGGTGTGTGTTTTATAATTGTGTAACATGTTAATAATGTTTTCGGAGCGTCATGGATGAGGACGGTTCAACAATCGTTGGTGAGTTAATTATAAACATTTAATTTAAATAGAAAATAGAAAGTGCGTTGCGTTTATTGTGTAATGGATATGTAAAAGATACACATCTAGTTTTTTATTACCTCCAGATTATATCTATATTTTTGTATATTGAAGTTTAATGTTAGAGTCAAACGATTTTTACAATGGCTTTCAATTTGTTGCAAATGTATTTATTTTTTCCAATTAAGCCTACATGACTAACGTACCGAGAAGTTAATAAAACAATTAAAAATATTTCACTGAAATTCAATTAAATCAATTTATTACTTAAACTCTACAATTAAAAGGTCGATGTACAAGTCATAGTTGGTTTCTTGTAATTGTAATGGAATCATATAAGACTTTTTGTGACAAATGATTGGAATCATATAAGACTTTTGTGGGAATTTGCATGATAATAGAGTAAAATATAATATTGGTTTTTATTGAATTTGAAAATGAAGAATTTTGCTTATTCTTTTCGAAAAGTTTATAAATAAATATTTAAGAGAAATAAGATGAGATTATTCCAAAATAATGCACTGATGATTGCAACAACTATTCACCGAAACACATTTTTATAAAATGATACTATTCTTGATTTAATTATTATATTTTAATCAGAAAAATGATGGATTGTATATAGTTCCGAAACGTCGAGAACGAAGAATTATTTTCAAAAATATTTTTTATTATCAATAACTTCTCAAAGATTTATGTTCTCGACGTTTCAAGTCATTCTGAATTGTTTAGCACAAAATTGAAAAAAACTGTATGTGAGCAAAAATTTATCACTTTGTCCACATTTTAATGTAATTGTTATTTGTAATAATTAACTTTCTGTTATGTACGTTTCGACACAGAATGTGTGCCATCATTTAGAAGGTTAACAAATATAAAACAAGAAAACTTGTTTATAATATTTATATATACTTATATAAAATTTGTTATAATATTGATAATAATTGTTTAATTTTCAACTTCCCTTAGGGTAAGTTATAATAATTGCAAAAAAATCGAAAATGAAAATGTTTATATATCTCTACGTTTCAAAGGTTTCTGAACATTTTGGCATACTTTAGAAAAAATGGATGTAAGTGTGTGTGTGCGGATACAAATTTTCTAAATATTTCAATATATGAAAAATTCATTTTTCTCAAAAAAGTCAATTTGTTTTAAAATTTCAAATTTCTCAAAAATTATATTTTAATTTTCTTTGAAAAAAACTGATTTTGGGTCATAATTTTCAAACAACGTTAAAGATTTTTTTATATTTATATAACTTATATATAAAATTCTTCTGTACGAATGTATGATTTGATACTTCTCTTAAACGGTTATTCGGATTTTGATAAATCTTTTTAGAATTTGTCAAAGGAATTTTTTAAGATTTATTGAACAATAAACATATAGTAATATTGTAGAAATAAATGGCAAAAATTACCAAAAAACACTTATCATTGTTTGACATTGAAAACATTTGAACTGTCATCTGCTAGAAATGTCAATTAACTTGAAATTTGAATTTAGGTGAAATTATGAGCCTAGTTTATATTAGAATATATTGTACAAGAAAAATTAAATGTCTACATTATTATTGCTGAAAAGCATCTGGGATGTGCCAGAAATTAAAATAATATAAGTTACAGTCAACAGTACATGTTTGGCAGATGAAACTATATAATTCAGTTTAATAAATAACGCAACAAGTCCAAAATTGTATATACATTATTTTTTTAAACTTATGCATGCCGCATTTTGGTTTACTTTACTAAATTATTTAACAATACAAAACATATTTCTACTTATTAGTAAAAAAATTCAATAATCAAAAATTCATTTGTTTGGCATTGGATATGGAATATTTAGCAAGTTGATCTTACATTAGATTGAAGGAAGAGTGCTCATATGAACTAGATTTCACAAATCAATTCAGCTAAGATTTGAACATAAACAATAATGTTTATTAAATTATTAGTAAGAAAAATGCACTTTGGAAATTATAATTGGCAAAAAGCAACTAATATATCGTACGAGATTATGAAAATTATAGACTAAACAATTGAAGCAATTATGTTTTGTGGTAAAATCAAGTGTGATATTGTTTTTTACCGCAGATAGTATATTATTTTTTTCTGAATTTCTTCTATTGCTTATGCTAAGACCATAAATGAATCACAAAGGCAGGGCATCAAATAGGATATTAAAAATATAGGATAGAATATTGTAGACAAATATAAAAAAGGAAAGGTAAAAATATAGGAACTTTGGAATTGTAGACGTGGGAATATACATATATATATATATATATATATATATAAATATATATATATACGAGTATATAAATTATATATATTTATCTTCTATATATATAAAAATAAGTCGAGTTTTCCTTCCTGGCGATATAACTGCAGAACGCACGAACCGATTTCGACAATTTTGCATTTGTTGGAAAGGTCTTGGGCTCCGCAAGGTTTATAGCTAAGAAAGTTAGTTGTGCATGGCATCGTGCCTTAATGCAAGCTGCTGGAACTTCAATTAATTAATTACCATTATTATATTATTCAACAATTAATTACCGTAATTAAAAATTCAAGTAATGACATTAGTGAGAATTATCAGAATTATGCTTGGTTGAGTCAACGAGCAATTCTTGCCGCAAAGAATAATGATGTACACGCACTGAATTTCACCACTCAATCAAAAATTGCTGGCGATTTGGTGACATACCAATGATTCCGACTGGTCTTCCGTTTGACTTCAAACGATTGCAATATCCAGTTCGCCTTGCGTTCGCAATGACAACTAACAAGTCGCAAGGCCAATCGCTTAGTGTTTGCGGGATAAATTTCAAATAGATTATTTAGAAAATCATTGTTTTTCAC